TTTTAACTATTAACCAGGCAAATTGAGTCAACAAATTGAGCTGATTTGACAAAAAATTCCTAAACTCAATGACAACGAAATAAACCCAAAAATATATAATAGTAATAATAATTATTATTGTAATGGTTATTCTTACTATCATAATATATTAATCATAAAAATAATAATTATTACTATTATATAATTACATAATATTTCTTAGTCACAAAATAATTATGGAAAATAATTAAATAATACTATCATAATATTTCTTCACTCCAAATTGAGGAGTTGATGAAAATAGTGAACTTACCACAATCGCGCCCCCCAACACTATTTCTATTTATTCAAATGATGCATTTATCCCAAATTTGCACCCCTCCCATTTACCCTTCATCCCAAACATAGTGTATGGTATAGTTCAGAAGTAGGCCAAATGCCAATCGTTACCATACAAATGTAAAAGAAAAAATTTCACTTTTAAGAATTCCATAGGTTGCAAATCACAACAGAAGGAGGTACCTGGTCAGTAGTATAAAGATCAATGGGATAATTGTAGAAGGAAAAGAGGAATTGAAGAAGGGTTTTGTTGAGCACTTTGTCAATGCTTACAAAGAAACACAACCCAACCGTCTTTTCCCGGTCAGCAGTGGACGCTTGATTTTCACTGATGTCGAAAAGGCTTGTTTGGAGAAACCTTTCTCTGAGTCTGAGATTTGGAAGGCTGTGAAGCACTGCAAAGGCGACAAAGCTCCGGGTCCCGATGGTTTCTCCATGGCTTTCTACAAAAAGTGTTGGAATGTGATTAAAGAGGACTTGTTCAAGGCTTTCGAAGACTTCTATGAGAATGAGAAGTTACCAAAATGTATTGCACACTCATTTATTTGCCTCATTCCAAAGAGGGGAGCAATTGAGGAAATCCTTGACTTCCGTCCGATCAGTCTTCTAGGAAGCTTTAACAAATTGATCTCCAAGGTGATTATGTATAGAATCAGACCATTTGTGAGCAGAATTGTGTTTGGAAATCAGTTTGTTGGGGTTCAAAAGCGTCAGATTCATGAAGCTACGCTAATTGCAAATGAATTAGTCGATAGCAGGCAAAAAAGTGGGAAACCAGATTTGGTTTTTAAACTTGACATTGAGAAAGCCTTTGATAACGTTCATTGGAACTGTCTTTTCAATATCTTACAGAACTATGGTTTTCCTTTGAGGATGCAAAAGTGGATCAAAAGTTTGGTTACCTCTCCTAGCATGTCTGTGTTGGTCAATGGGGAATCTGCAGGGTTCTTCAGCATTGGGAAAGGGCTACGACAAGGTGATCCGACATCCCCATTCTTATTTACTCTTGTGATGGATATTCTGTCTACTATGTTGGATACCTTGAAAGATGCGGGACTCTTATCGGGATTTAAGATGGATGAAGTAGGGTTGAGAGGTGAGGTGACACACCTTCTTTATGCTAATGATACCATCATTTTCTGCGAAGCCAGTGAAGAACAAGTGCTTAATTTGTTGGGAACACTTGTGTGCTTTCAGTCTGTTACAGGGATAAAAATCAATGTTGATAAATGTCAGATGTTTCTGGGCGGAAACGTTGAGCAGCCAGGCTATTTTGCAAACCTCTTCGGATGCGGGTGGAGCTACCTTCCAACGATTTATTTGGGAATCCCGCTGGGTGCTAGCCTCAATTCAGTGGTTGTTTGGGAACCTATTATTGTCAGAGGAAGCTTCCTTTCGCTGGGGGGGGGGGATAATTACCCTGGCTCGTAGTGCCCTCTCAAGTCAGCCAATCTTTATGTGTTCTATTATGAAGGCGCCAAGGTCTGCGGCTCAGAGAATGGAACAATGTCAAAGGGATTTCATATGGTCCGGAGTTGGTGAGAATAAGAAATTTCATCTTGTGAGGTGAGAGAAGTGTAAACTAATAAGAGAGGATGGTGGTCTAGGTATTATAGATATCCGGAGCATGAATTCTGCCCTACTCCTCAAATGGATGTGGAAGTACGTGACGGAGCCGGATGCTTGGTGGAGGCAACTTATCGATCTCAAGTTCCCTAATCAGGGGAGTCTTTGGAGGGCTGGAGAGGGTGGAATTCATGTGGGATGCTCACTGTGGAAAATATCATGAAGGAGGAGCATTTGTTTTGGAATCATGCATATATTAATGTCGAGGGTGGTGCTTGGGTTTCATTCTGGAATGACTTTTGGCTGCCCGGTGTGAGACTTAAAGATGCCTATCCTAGAGTTGCAGTTGCTTCTTCTGCACCTGATGCGTGGGTATCCGAGTCAATATCCTTTTCAAATGAGAGAATGAATTGGGACATTCCTTTAAGGTTTTCGCTAAGATTGGGAGCTGAGAGTGAGAGAATTCAATTGATGCAGTTTCTTTCTTCTATTCCTACTGGTTTTATTTTTGCGACCTTGTAAGGTGATTTGCCATCCTGCTCCTTCCTCATCTTTTACGGTGAAATCCGCCTACAAGTGCATCATCTCCTCGAAGTTTATGGGCGAGGCGGACTTTCCGCATAAGGTGGTGTCGATTCCACAATTTCCATCCAAAATTACTTCCTTCCTTTGACTTGTGATGCATCGACGGATTCTCACTCAGAAAAATCTTAAAAAAAGGTTGGAATATGGGTAGTAGATGTGCTTTATGCAAGAAGACAGAAGAGAGTATGTACCATCTTTTTTGTAGATGTGAGTTCAGCTGCAACATTTGGCGTCTCTTGCAAGTTCTCACCGATGCAATGGGGCCGCACTCTATTGAGATTGATGCTGTGATCAAGGGTTGACCGTGCGGTGTTCATGCAACTTGGAAAGAGTGGTTCCGAAATCGTCTTCTTCATGCGTTCACTTGGGAATTTTGGAAGGAAAGAAATGCAAGAATGTTTCAAGGCGAAGCAAAGCCTTGGCGGGTTGTTCTACACAAGATTGGGCAGACACTTCTGAACTGGAGTTCGGCTCATGGGCATATCAGCAAGCATTGTTGTGGCTCGAGTTGCTCCATGTTGATTGCCCTTTTAGTGGTTCTCAGAAGTAGTTGGGTTTGGCTGCATTCTCGGTGTTTAGGGTGGTTCTGTTTGCTGCCCTTTCTCTGTTTTGCAACTTTGTTTTGCTTTCCTGTTTGGTTTTGCTTTGCCTGTTTGGTTTTTAGCCTCTCCTTTCCTTCCATTTCTGGATCATGCCTTGCGATCCTGGGTTGTGGTTGGGATTCTCTGTACTTTGTTTTTTCCCCTTTCTTTTAGTTAATTAATCTTCACCCTTATAAAAAAAAGTTATTATCACATAATAGGAAATATTATTTTTTCCTCTTTTTAATATGAGAAGTCAATCATATTAAAAGTTAGGGCTATAAAAAAGGAACCAACAAAAACCAAACTCATATCATACTTATTGTAAAAAAAGACCAACAATCTCAACTAAAATTTGATATTTAATAATTATTTAAAGTGAATAATTCTTTCTTTATGTCATATCAAAGCAAATCGTATGTGCAAATTGCATAAAAATCAGAAATTGATGGATTATGAAAAATACAAGCACAGTAACAATCCACTCAAACAGTAACAGAAACCAATAAACCTAGGGGAAAGAAAATTTATTCCATATTTTATTTCACCAAAACTTACATCTATAACTATATATGTCCTAACATGCAAAATAACAAAATAGTACTTAAAATATAAACAAAGATTATATTAGATAATAAACTAATACTATTCTACAATATACACCAACACCAGCCCTTCCTCAAACTGAAGCATGAATATCAAGAGTGCTAAGGTTGGACTTGAGAGTTGAGAAGATTGCAGCAGACAAAAACTTAATGAAAAGATCAGAAATTTGATTAGTAGTTGAAACATGCAGCAGCTTAATCAAATTAGAAGCAACCTTATCATCAAGGGTTAAATGGCAATCAAGTTCAATGTATTTAATATGTTCATGTTAAATCATACCGTAATGATTGTCGGACCAATTTTTTTTTATATTGGAGTTTAAATTTATAAGCGATTTTTAATGGTATGAAATAATTGAATTATAATTAAACCATAATTTCAATACAAAATATCTTATCGCTAACGATTCCAATACAATATACAGACAATTTTTTCAATGTTAATTTGAAGTCAAGCAATATTATTGGTACTGACATTACAATGGCTGATCGTACCATTGATTACTGGCATATAAAAATCGAACCATTAAGATGTGGGATGATTTTAGTTGTTGCTTGTTGGGAAGATACTAATTAAACCAGCAAAATAACTGAAAATAAGCGGTATAGACACGTTATAGACGCGAATAATTTATTTTTATATAATATACGGTATATGTGCTCCAGGTCGGCCGGCCGGCTGGTCAATGGTTATCAACAACTACGTTGGTGTAGGGGCACAACCCAATTAACAGTGAGCACACTTATACATAGTATAGGTAGTCCACGTCGCTTCTTTATAAATTATTGTTAATTGTTATTATTGATGGAACCTCCACGTGTTTAGTACAACTCGAGGAGCATACTATATACTTAGTAAAATATATTTATTTAGATTATGAATTGATCGAGTTTGAAGTACGATACATAGTATAAAGTATATACTAATTTCTAATCAATAAAAAATATTTTCTGATTCTTGAAATCCAAATTCAGAAATTAATTTGATAAGAAACAATAATTGACCATTCTAATTTGTCAAAGTACATTGAAATACATACAACAACCAAATCACTTGTAATAATATGCTATATATACAAGTACATCGGTTGTACTAAATGAAACACAATACAAGTTTGCTTCTTCAAATTAAAGTCGCCGAGTTATACCCACAAAACTCCAATCTTATGTCCATATCATGGAAGAATAATTATAAATGATAAAATCGTAATCGATGGTTACAATAAAATATCCCCCGCGCGCCCACACCCAATGGAAGATTTTATATATTATCTCGACGTCTCCCCATTAATAGTTCCTCATCTCTCTCAAGTCTCAACCTTCACTCACCACTTACCCAACAACCATGGCTTTCCTCTTCTTCCTCCTTGCTCTCCCCATCATCCTCCTCATCCTCCTCCAAACCAACCGACCCAAAAGACCATCCAACCTTCCACCCGGTCCGCCCGGCCTGCCCATCATCGGCAACTTGCTCCAAATCGACAACTCCTCCGTACATCGCTCCCTCGCCCAACTCTCCCAAAACCACGGCCCACTCATGTTCTTGCAATTGGGTTTTGTCCCAAGCATAGTAATCTCCTCGTCCAAGCTAGCCAAAGAGGTCATGAAAACGCAGGACCTCGCGTTCTGCAGCCGGCCGACCCTAACCGGTCAGCAGAGGCTGTCCTACAACGGGTTGGACCTAGTCTTCTCCCCCTACGACTCTTACTACACCGAGATGAGGAAAATATGCATGGTCCACCTCTTCCACCCGGCCCGGGTCCAAACCTTCCGACCCATCAGAGAGTACGAGGTCTCGCAGATGATCCACAAGATAACCTCCAAGATCGGTTCAACCCCCGACAAACCGGTCAATTTGAGCGAGGCCATGATGTACCTGACCAGCACTATAATTTCGAGGGTCGGGTTTGGGAAGAGGTACGAGGAAGAAGGGATCGAAAGGAGCAGGTTTCAATCGTTGCTGAATGAGAGTCAGGCTATGTTCACGAACTTCTTTGTTGGTGATTATTTTCCATATATGGGTTTTGTGGACAAGCTCAATGGTTCGGCCGCTCGACTTGAGAAAAACTTCAGAGAGTTTGATGACTTTTACCAGGAGGTCATAGATGAACGCCTGGATCCAAAGAGAGGGAAAAATCCAGAGCAGGAAGAGGACATACTCGATGTGTTGTTGCAAGTCATGAATGATCCTTCCTCCAAAGTCTAACTTACTTTCAACCACGTCAAAGCACTCCTCATGGTTAGTTTACCAATCTAGTAATTTTGCATAATTTTTTAATTTTACTATGAGAGTTCATTGTGTATAAATAACCAATGTTATTTGGGACTTTATAAATAACCAACAAATTCATGAAACTGGATGATGCGGACTTCTGACCTTGTTAGTGACTATCTAGTATACTCTTCATAATAGTCTCTTTTTTCCATTTAAATAAACGTGTGTGTCGGATTTTTCCCGTAACTTAATATGCAAAAATCATAATTTTATACGAAACAGTTAAACCCTAATCGATCACTCATATATAGTTTTTGGTCTTCTCTTTTTTGTAGAATGTATTTCTTGCAGGGACAGACACGGGCGCTGCCACAGTGGTATGGGCTATGAGCTTCCTGATGAAGAACCCAGAGACAATGAAGAAGATACAACAAGAAGTCAGGAGCTCGATTGAAGCCATCAAGGGCTTCGTGAACGAAGACGATCTTCACCAACTATCATATCTGAAAGCTGTGGTAAAGGAGACGTTCAGATTGCAACCCACGGTTCCGCTCTTGGTCCCTCGACAAACCACAGAGAAGACTCGATTGGACGGCTATGATATCCCAGCCAAGACCCTCGTCCAAATCAACACATGGGCCATTGGGAGGGACCCTGAAGTATGGGAGAGCCCAGAAGAGTTCAAGCCCGATAGATTTTTGGACAACTCTTCGAGTACTAGTACTGTTGATATTTTTGGGCAAAGCTTCGAGCTTACCCCGTTTGGAGCCGGGAGGAGGATATGCCCTGGCCTTCACATGGGCCTGGTCACGGTGGAGCTCGCGCTGGCGAATTTGGTGTACAAATTCGACTGGGAAATGCCGGTTGGGATGAAGAAAGAAGACGTGGATATGGCGGTGATTCCGGGTATTACCATGCACAAGAGGAATCATCTTTGCCTTTTAGCTAAACGGCCTATGATATGAACTTATTATGTAACGCTAGCTCTCATCAGTTTGTAATGGTGGGGATGAATAATATATATAACCAATGGATGTGAGTATGTAATGTAATCCTACATTAATATTACCTTCTGAATCCTGATGGTCATTTACACCTATAATTTATAGAGTTCTGCTAGTGTCTAATAGCGTTGAATCTAAATCTGCGTGCTTAAAATTATATTATTAATAAATGAATTTCAGTAATGTGCCTCAGTTGTACTGGAGAAGGGGAAAAATGGTAATGGGCCGCAACCCGTAGGGATGTATTGTCTGTGGGCTTCCGTATTGGGCCGCAGTTGTAGAGGCGACGCTATACTGTTGGTGTATGACGAAACATTGGATTTGGAGTCCTCTTCCTCGAAAGCCAGACCAGCATTCCCTATGGTTCTTACGGATGCTGAGATGAAGATTGATGGAAACAAACTTACGTTTGCTGAGATGGAGGACTCCAGCATTTCATAGTCACAACGTTTGTGACAATTATACTCACGTTGTGACAATTATACTCACACCCTTTCAAACATCCGTCCATCCCTTTAGTGATGTCACTGAACAATATAACTAGAGAATAAAGCCTTATTTCCTAAATCGTCAATTCAGATCCCCAATCACTAGACTGAAGAAGAAGGCTTCAAAAGCTTGGTGGAGTCGTAGAAAAATGACAAGAGGGCAAGAATCTTGATGGAAAGAAGCACAACACCAATCGCAAAAAAGAATGCCATTGACGACATCGGTGAAAGAGGAGATGGTGTCTCCGGTTGCGACAAAAACCGATGGGTCAGAAGGAGGGATGTGGTGGCTCGTAGTGCATTTTCCCACCAATTCCTCGAAACCGTCGGGACTGCAACTCTTCATGTTTCCGGTGAATCTTGATTCGTCGTAGTCAATTGACTAGATTTATTAAAAATACCATAATGTTTTGGCTATTTCATGTATTTCGAAAATTATTGGTATAACTATCACAAACGTGAAAGTTGTGGCTATGAAAGTGTATTTTGCCTTTTAGTAATTTTACATGATCTGTTGTATTAAAAAGTACTTCTAAATCTTTTTTAGCCAAACACTCTATACTGTTTTATTTTGTATTAAAAAGTATTTCTGTAAAAGCTCAAACGAGAAGTAGCTTCTACAAAAGCTATTGCTGGGTGAAACTAGCTCATAATGACACAATACAAATTCAGTGACCAACAAGTAATTAACCAAAATGACATCACTTTAATAAACTCTCTTTATTTGAACTTGCTTCTTCTGGCGCCATAATTCACTGCAACCCGGGTTCGATTCTTTCTACTGTCAACACTGGGGAAGAATTGAGAAGATAATTGTGAATGAGAGTTGAGAGAGAAGATTAGAGATTGAGTTTAATATTCTGATATACTGATAATAATCATTTGAATGAGGGTTCTCCTCCTTAAATAAAAAAGATGCAAATAACACAAAAGAATACTTGAACCACCTAGCCACATACGACTCAACCCGACCCGTGCCCATGGCCCGTGTTTCCATCATCCCTCCCCCTTCAGAACCGACATTGCCCTCAATGTCAAAGGATGGATAACGCTGCACCAGTGTAATAGTCTCCTCCCACATGGCATCCTCCGGAACTTGTTGCTTCCACAACACTAAGCTCTCCTCCACCAGGCGGCCACCCTTACGCTTCCACCGTGTCTCTAGTACCTTTAGGGGAGTCAACTCGAGGTCACCGTCAGCACTAACTGCGTGGCAGTCGTCTCTGCACGATCAGCTGGTCCTCAATACCTGCGCAATAACGACACATGGAACGTCGGGTGGATGCGGGATTCCGACGGTAACTGCAGCCGATACGCCACCGAATTGACCTTCTCCACTATCCCATAGGGCCCAAAGAAACGAGCAGCAAGCTTCTGGTAAGCTCTCCGAAAGACTAAGGCCTTACGATAGAGATGTAACCTAAACAATACTAGATCACCAACCACGAATTCCTCCTTCCGCCGCCCGGAATCCGCAGCCTACTTCATCCGATTGTTCGTCGCCTCCAGGTTGATAATTAGCTGATGCAAAACCTCGTCACGAGACCCTAGCCAGCGATTCACACCGTCAACGGTGCTAGCGCCACTCTGGTACCAAAGAAGGCGGTGGTCGGCCATAAAGCGCCTCAAATGGGGTCATCTTGATGGCCCGATGGTATGTAGTATTATACCATAGCTCTAGCCAAGGCAGCATACCCAAACAACTCCGCGACTGCTTATGAGCGAAGTAACGCAGGTACTGCTCGAGATGGCGGTTGATCACCTCCGTCTCCCCATCTGTCTGTGGGGGATATGCCAAACTCATTCGCACCGCCGTACGGGCCAGGGCGACACCTTCTGCCAGAAGTTACTAAAAAAAACAGAATCTCAATAGCTCACAACGGTCCGCGGAAACCCATGATGTCGCACCACACCCAGAACAAACTGGTAAGCCACTGCCTTCGCCGTATAGGGGTGAGCTAAGGCCATAAAATGAGCATACTTTGTTAGGCGGTCCACAACTACAAACAATATTTTCTTACCTCCCGACGGTGGTAACCCCACGATGAAGTCCATATTGATGTCCTCCCAGATCCGTTCCGGTACCGGAAGCGATTGAAGAATGTATGCAAACCGCAAATGGGAGGCCTTCACTCGCTAATAAGTGTGGCAGGAGGCCACATAGTCCTTCACCGTCTATGCCATCCGAGGCCAATAAAGGGCGCCTTGACCCTGTGCAGGGTCTTTTTCCACGCTCGAGTCACCCCCTAACGGTGAGTCATGAAACTCTGCTAGTACCGTCATGACTAGGGAAGACACTGCTGTCGGCATTCCTTCGGGTAAGGATCAGTCTCATTAAGGGACCACAGCTCATCATAGAACTAGGGTATGGGTTCCGACACGGCCTTAAACACCTTGCTACCATGGGTGCGCGAGAGCCCATCTACCACCACATTCATGGGACCAGGTGAGTAATGGATTGTGTAATCGTACCCCATCAATTTAGACACCTAGTAATGTTGGTCGGGAGTAGAGACCTTCTTCCCCAGCAAATGCTTCAAGCTCTGATAGTCAGTATAAATGTGGAACTTCTGACCCAACAAATACGGTCGCCAGGTCTGGACTGCTGTGATGATAGCTTGCATCTCCTTCTTATATGTCGACCATGCTTCCTTAGTCGGAACCAAGGTTTTGCTCATATAAGCTATGCGATGGCGATCCTAGGATAGTACTACTCCAATCCCTCAATCGGAAGCATCAGCTTTGATCACAAAGGGCTAGAGAAGTTGAGTAGCGCCAATGTTGGTGAAGACGACATCACCCGCTTGAGTTAATGGAAAGACGACTCTGCAGTAGGAGTCCAGTCGAAGCCACCCTTCTTTAAGAGATCCTTCAGAGGCCGAGAAATCATGCTATATCCCTGCACAAATTTTCGATAATAACTTGTCAGCCCAAGGAAACCCCGCAGCTCAGTCACATTGGCCGGAATCAGCCAATTCATCATCGCACGTATCTTGGCGTGGTCGACCTTCACACCGAATGCGAATTTGGATGCCTTGACATAGTACTGATGCTTTCTCAGAATCCCAAACACTACATCTAAGTGATGCAGGTGCTCCTCCCAAGTCGGGCTGTATACTAATATGTCGTCAAAGAAGACCAGGACATATCGGCGCAACAAAGGTCTGAAAATGTCGTTCATGGCATCCTGAAACGTCGATGGAGCATTACACAACTCAAAAGGCATCACCAGGTACTCATAGTGGCCATTAAGGCAGTCTTGTGCACATCTTCCTCCTGCATTCGGATCTGATGATACCTCGCTCGCCAATACAGTTTCGTGAAGTAACTAGACCCATGTATCTCATCCAACATGTCATCCACAGTTGGGAGGAGCAACCCCGTCTCAAGCATCTCCTCAACCTGCTTCTCGATCTCAGTCTTTTGTGAATGCCCGTATCTGTACAGCTGCACATTGACGACTTCAACCCCCCTCCTTCAGTCGGATCTGATGATCAACCCGACAGTGGGTGGTAGAACAAATGGCTTCTCGAACAACTCCTGGAACCGCGTCAGCTCCGCGTCCACCTCCTTGGACTCCGCTTGGCCGATCGGCCAGCACAAAATGGCGAGCTCCTTGTCACCATCTCGCGCGCACTCCTTCATGGAGATAGGCCCCATGGCAGTCGTTATTCCAACCAAGTGAACCGCATCGTCAACAAGGTCCAATCAATGACGACCGGTCCTAGACTGCGAAGCCACGGAATGCCCATGATTACATCAAATCCCCTGAGCGGTAGCACGCCCAAGTTGGTCGTGATCTCCAAGCCTTGAATCACCAGCGTGATCCCTTTGTAAATTGCTTGGCACTGCATGGGTGCGCCATTTGCCACCTTGACCACCATCGTCGCTATCGGGCTGGCTTCGTGTTGTAAAGTCTTTGCAAACTCCGCGTTCACAAAATTCAATGAGGCTACGCTTTCCATAAGAGTGAGCGCAGGCCGCCCCTCCAGCCGTGCACGGAACCGTAGGGTGCCCAGAGTTGGGTGCCTCGTCACGGTGTGGAGCGACGGCTCCGAAGTCATCTCCCCGAGCCCTAGCGCATCGCCTGACCGTGGCTACTTTGCCGGTGCGCCTGCATCCAACCCCGCTACCCCTTCCTCGACCGATTGCACCGGGGCTGCCACCCGACGCGGCGGTTTTGGCGTTTGGTCACCCGCCGTGGCCTCTTCCTCCTTCAGCGTGGCGTGCTGCCTCTCCCAAGCTCAGACGCGGGTTGCCTGACGTAACTGTTCCAGCATCTGCTCGCGGTCGGAATCAGTGAGCTTTGACGAGCTCATTCGGTCTCTAATACCAATATGATAGATGGAAGAATAATTACGGATTGAGAATTTGGAATTAGGGATTTGGGGAAGAATTGGGAAGAGAATTGGAAATGAGAGTAGAGAGAGAAGATTATGGATTGGGTTTAAAATACTTATATATTGATAATAAATTTAGCTCTAAAATCGAGAAAATGCAAACCACCTGTTTACACCTAAATTTAGCTTTGAACCACATTGATTATTCACAAGGCATTTAATGTTTTTATAAGGCCAAATCAATAATTATAATTAATGTTATTTGAGCTG